GATGCACATCACCTAATGTGCTTAACTGGTAGTAGGCTTTCGAGCCGATAGAGCTTGGAGTAAGACAACATGTATGAAGAGGATGATGTGGACAAAATACTCATTTGCCTAATAATCCTGCACTCCCTGTAATTTAATGTTTAACAGGAATTCTGTTTTTCAGTGAGGAGACGAACGTGTGTTGCTGGTTTGTGATTGAGCAAAACTAAAATTTTATATAAAGAACAAAGTTATGAAGTTCAAACATGAATAAAGTATAATCCTTAAGCTGCTTATGTTCTGATGAACTGGACCCATTATGCTGCCAGAATGTGTGGTTTCTGCTGTGGCTGTTAAAGCTCTCAGAGTCAGAGTCCATTTTACAATCTCTTAATGCTTGTTTTGTGCTTTATTATTTATTCATGTTGTGTATTCTGCAGCTTTCTTCTGCATGTTTTCTGCATCTCTGCAACTTCAGATGAGCGATTTTTCATGGTTGTATCCATGTCCTTGCTCAGCATGCATGGTCTCTCTCTCTCTCTCTCTCTCTCTCTCTCTCTCTCTCTCTCTCTCTCTCTCTCTCTCTCTCTCTCTCCCCCTCTCCCTCCCTCCCTCCCTCCCCCTCCAGGGTATCCGCGGGTCCTTAAAAAGTCTTAAATTAGCTTTTCCAAATTTAAGGCCTTAAAAATCCTTAAAAATGACAAATAATCCTTAAATACAGTTTCCAAAGGTCTTAAATTACCAAAGACCCAATAAACAAGATTACTTTATTTCTATAAAATTTTCGTGAATTTCTAGTTAGTGTTCAGCATTTTATGTGTGTCATATTGGCATAAGTGGAACCGTACACATTCAGTTGGTTATGAAAGGGGACTATTTTTAGATGAGCACATTAGCTGGTTAAGCTAGTGGGAGCTTGCGCCATGGGGAAGTGCAAGTTTAATGGTAACTGGATGGCTAATCCCACGTTCGCGACATGGTTAGCACCGGTTCCAGGCAATAGCTGCAAATTATAGATTAAATGACATTTTAAAAAATTGCTTAAATTTGGTCAAAGTGGCCTTAAAAAAGGTCTTAAAAAGTCTTAAATTTGCTCCCTTAAACCTGCAGATACACTGTCTCTCTCTCTCTCTCTCTCTCTCTCTCTCTCTCTCTCACTCTCTCTCACACACACACACACACACACACACACACACACACACACACACACACACACACACACACACACACACACACACACACACACACACAGATCCAGACTTCCTGTAACAGTAGCCGACCTGCATCTTAAACCCGCTGGAATTTGGCCTTCACCATTCTCAAGTGTAACAAAGTGTGAGACAGGTTGGGGAGAGGTCGGTGATCAAATTACAAATAAATTTAGGATAAATCGCAAAAATAATTCAGACTTTTAGCCAATAATTTTGTGCATTTACAACAAAATACAACATTAACAAAATGGAAACTCTACGTGTGCACAAGTGAACTAATGTGGTCATTTGCTCTATAAATGCAGTAAGAGACCTGAGTACACACACACACACACACACACACACACACACACACACACACACACACACACACACACACACACACACACACACACACACACACACACACACACACACACACACACCTAAGAAACAAAGTGCATTTCAGTCACTTATTGATCCTTCTACTCCGCTGTTTCCCTCTTTGAGTTACTCATCCTTTTGTGACAGACGTTACGTTTGATTCTCCTTCCTGTCCGTCTGTTTGTGTTTTTTACATTCTATGTTTTCACGCCCCAGCGATGGCTCCACACCAAGGAAGCATCATTTCTGAAAATTACCACCTCTTTCATTTATGCTGAAGTCAGTATTGATGCTGGAAGAAGCACAGTGATGCTAAACAAACAGGAATCAATGGTTCCCATCAAATCATTTGCTGCTGTGAAGCAACAAGCCACTTACGCTGCGAGCAGGAGAGCGTCTGAGACGGCGGAGAACCAGAACGCAGAATCCAGGCAGGTTAAAGGAACCAAAGAACTTTAATAACTTATAGAACACCGCAGGGCAGCGGAGAACCCGTGAAACAATCACAGATACAGTGAAGACAAACTAGAAATCTCAAATAATAACCAACAGAAACAAACCCACAGGAAGTTGTGAGAGAAAATACTAAACTAAAGGTGTTTTCACACCTGCAGCGACTTGGTAGGTTTTTTTTTTGTTGAAAGGATCGTTGTCGGTGCCGTTTAACTTCAGAGGGCCAAAAGTGTAGAAGAAAACATGATTTAGTGGATCTCATGTGTACAGGGCCTGAGCCGAACCCCCTCCTGTAGCAGGTCACTGTTGCATCCTGGGATACTTTACTTAACTTTATTTATAAAGCCCCTTTGACGACCTCACTGGACGCCCAAGGCGCTGAACACAAAAATCAGACACTCAATAAACCATTTATCCAAAATAATTAACCCAGTTCAGAATTCACTAAAAAAGAAAACAACGTGCAAACATTAAAAACAGCAAAGAGTAGGACGATGTTGCCAAGCACTCTCATTTAGTAACGTGGACCTTCAGACTGGACCTAAAGACCAACAGTGAAGGAGACTGGCTCACACCCAGAGGCAGGAGGACACATCTACGGATTAGCTCTTAGCTAAGACCCATTAGTCGTCACGCACGGGCGAGATGATTTCTCTGCATTTGACCCATCCATCCCCCCGGGGGAGCGGTGAGCTCCAGACATGGCTAGCTCAGGAACTACTTGGTGGTTTAACTCCAAATCCAACCCCTTGATGCAAATTGTAAAGCTGGTAAGCATTGGGTCCCATTTTGAAACCCAACCACGGATTTGAACCCACGACCTCCCGTTCTCATACCACTAGGCCACCGAGCAAGCTGAATCTGCAGCGAGGACTCAGGTACCTGACTGATATTTGGACAGATGACCGGATTTATCCGTTCTGTTTCATAAAAACACCAAAGAGATGATTGATAAACGGCTCCGGGAGGTGGGGCTAGAGCGCGTCGTGAGCTAGCTCAGAGTCATCCGTTAGCCCCTGGGCTGCTCCGCTCCCAGACAGTCTGAGCAGTCAGCAGACTGATGCGTTCAGTGATGCGCTTGCTGATTGTTGCTGTGATTTCCGTGTGACCAAGTACTGAATTTGATTAAAGTGTTTTGCAGCACAGACAAAAAAAAAAAAAAAATCCATCAGCTCATTATCCATGAACACATTAGCAATTTAAAGCACAATTTGCACGAGATTACCAACTGGGTCAGCAATGTTTGTGCCTGCAAAGTGATTCAGCCTGAGAGCCGGTGAAGGGTGTTGGGTCTTTGAAGGTAGATCAGCAGCACGCTGAATTTAGGTCAGAAGATCGTTCCACGTCTACTGCTGCTTTTTGAAACGATGATGAAATAGTGGACGAAAAGTGGGAGGACATCGATGCTAGACACATTAATAACATCCTCCATAAGCTGCTGATGGACTCGGTATTGTTACCCGGTGGGGCTGCAGATGGTTTTTTTCATCGTCCTTGTTTTACCTAGAGGCGATAATCCTCATCCTTTGGTCCTCTGTGGTCCCACAGACAACCTATTACAGTTTCATTAATGCCAACAACTCAGAACTCACTCAGAAGTTCAACAAAAATCAACCATAACAAGACTGAGTAGAGAAAGATTCAGTCAGCTTGTTTTAACTTCTCCCTGTTTGCAAACAAAATGCCTCCAATCCTCTCAATGGCCTTACTGGTTCTTGTTTATGTCTCTCTGGAATTTTCTGCATATTCCAATTTTTTTTTTCACAAATTAGTTGCAAAGGTGTTGTGGGGCACCTGGAAGCAGTCTCGAACCCTTCTTCAATGATTCTCAAATTAGTTTCAGCAAGTTTGAGAAATATGAGACGACTATGGGAGGGGTTGGCGACGAAACCCTGATAAAATAGGTCACTGGTGACATAATTAGGTCAGTTTAAGATGAATTAAGAAAACGACACCAAATCGCAGTTTAGCATAATTCCAACTAACGTTTGTAAGGTTTCTTGTGTCCAACTGGTCCCCAACAGTTGCAGAGCAGCGATAAGACAGCTTAAGGAGGTCAAGGGATTTGATCAATTTCTTAATTATTGAAAACTCCGGGTCGGGGGAGAGGTCCTACCTCAAGTGGAGTGAGGGTAGGAGGGATCGGGAGATCGACAGGCGGATTGGTTCGGCGTCTGCAGTGATGCGGATGCTGAGCCGATCTGTCGTGGTGAAGAGGGAGCTGAGCCAGAAAGCCAGGCTCTCGATTTACCGGTCGATCTACGTCCCAATCCTCACCTATGGTCATGAGCTTTGGGTAGTGACCGAAAGAACGAGATCGCGGATACAAGCGGCCGAAATGAGTCTCCTCCGAAGGGTGGCCGGGCTCAGCCTTAGAGATAGGGTGAGGAGCTCGGACATTCGGGAGGGACTCGGAGTAGAACCGCTGTTCCTCCGGATCGAAAGGAGTCATTTGAGGTGGTTTGGGCATCTGGTCAGGATGCCTCCTGGACGCCTCCCTGGGGAGGTGTTTCGGGCATGTCCTGCCGGCAGGAGGCCCCCGGGTCGACCCAGGACACGTTGGAGAGGTTACATCTCCAATCTGGTCCGGGAACGCCTTGGGGTCCTGCTGGAGGAGCTGGTGGAGAAGGCCAGGGAGAGGACGGTCTGGAGCTCCCTAGTTGGGATGCTGCCGCGACCCGGACCCGGATAAGCGGAGGAAGACGACGACGACGACGACGATTGAAAATGTCAAAAAGATTGCTTATGAGGACGAGTGTCATGAAAAATAAACCGGCTTGCATCCATTATTTTTGGTGCGCACCAGTTTTGTTCACCCTTGCTTATATTTTATATGAGCAGAAGTATTATCCACATCACCTCCATAATTTTTTGTTATTTATTTGTTTAAAGTGTTTGCTGTTAAACTGTCTCCCTCATTTATACGCATCCATGCTCTCCATCGTCACAGACCGTAGAAGTAATGCTCCTTTTTCTTTGACGCCTGATTTCCAGTACTGAGGTTTGTCGGGCCGACGGACAACGTCTTCTCCTGCGGCTTCGTCCGGATGTTGGAGCAGCGGCTGGAGAACGCCTTCGAAGAGGCTCAGGATAAAGTCCTGGAGACCTACAGCAGACTCACCGTGGAGGTAGCGAGTGCACGCGGGCTACTTTCTGCAGGCAGCTGAATGGCTACGTTTGCGTTTAGCACGCTAGTCAGGTTTAAAACAAAGCTCCAGGTGGATTTTCAGCCTCGCACACCAGTTCAGGGACATTCAGCACAAATGTTTTACTTGTGCAAAGTGGCAGATTCAGTAAAAAATCTCTTTCTTTACATTGTTTTCATGTTTGGTAGTCGTAGGACTGCAGGCTATAGACTGCATGCACACTCTCGTAATCAAAAAGTAGGTCTCAACAAGCAGATATAGGGTCCATTCATAATTCATCCTCTGAAATATTAACACTGAGAAATGTGCTGGGATTTTCTAGTGTCTGGAATCTCCATAGCGACTCGGCTGCATTACATTTGGAGCGCCACACAGGACTCGGAGAGAATAAAACCTTGTTCTTGAGTTTCTGAAGCTTTGTTATGCATTCTTCATGTGAATCTGGAGATATTTCTGCATGGATGTTTTAAATTAACTGGCTGCTTGTTTGCCTTGTTGCTCCAAATGCTCCAAAAGTCTGAAAATCCGATCTTTCCAGATTCAGACAGGTTTTTTTTTTTCTGTTCCCAGATCCTGAGTGTGTCCCAGGAGCCGGGCTCCCCCTCCGTTTCTCTCGTTTATTTGGTGAAAAACCAGGACGCAGTTCTGAACGGGACGATCTCCAGCGGTCTCCTCAACCAGCTGACTGCAGAGCTGGTGGGATACTTCCTGTTCTACCCTCCGCTGGTCATCGCCGAGCGTAAGAACAGATTCTTCTTCTGTTAGCACTCAGCTATTAGCTGTGCTTTAGCGTTCATACTAGCTGCTGCATACGTTTGGCATGGATCTAAATACCAAACTGATATTAGAACAGATCTATTTAAACACGTCAGCAACTTTGGCGTTTAAAAGTAATGCAGAAAAAACATTTAATTTGGTTAATTGATCCAAAGTCAGACCTTTTATAGTTTTTCACAGCAAAAATTGATTGATGTCCTCAAATGAAATTAAAATTAGGTTCATTATTAAATAAAAATTTTGAAATCCAAAATGTAAGTTTTAAAAAGAGAGAAAGTCAGAAGCAGACATCTAAATATTTTGTAACAGGTTTCAGATAACAGTTAAGTTTAAAGGGTCGCTCGCCCGCTGGGTGGAGTCTTACTTCACCCACACTTCCTGAAAAATCCACCTAAAGGAGGCATCGCCTGGCGTACTGAGAGAGCGGCGCTGAAGCAGTGATTGACAGCACCGCCCTCAACCCTCCGCACGCTCCTGGGGTCTTTCAGTAGAACTGAGCCGTTACCAAGCGAGTGCTCACACACACACACACACACACACACACACACACACACACACACACACACACACACACACACACACACACACACACACACACACACACACACACACACCGCTCAGTAGAACAAGCAAACAGAGAAACTGCAGCAGGCTGAAGGGTTTTCTCACTAGAAGACAGAGATAAGGACATCTTTTGTAAGGAGGTGAGCGGCTCTGAACTGCATCGTTGTACGTCGGCCGAGACTCAGCTGGAGTCCAGTGCAGGGCCGCCATGTGGTACGGTACAGACAACGTCCCTCTGCACCTCTTAGCCATCAGCTGTGGCTCAGTGTAGAGCAGAGTTAACCTGAAGAGGGAGCTCTAATTACGGTTTTAGGCTCAATTAATGTCAAAATAATAAATAACCGGCTCTTATAGCATCTTTCAGAGTCTCCAAAGCGCTTTACACTACGGTGAATCATTCATCCATTCACACACACATTCACACACTGGTGGTTATGAGCTACGATGTAGCCACAGCTGCCCTGGATGGAGCGCACTGACAGAGAAAATGACCACATATGCCTACATGACTATTAGACTCTCATCCATACAGGTTATCAGCAAAACAAATCAGATTTAGGTGTTACTCGCTTTTTAAGGAAGTACGTTCTGACTGCTAACAACTTTCGCTGAAAAGGAAGTCGTGAAAATCTTGTTCTCCTTTGTTAAATCAGGTAAAAACCTTTTTTCTAGCTTGAGTTGGTGTGTTTGTCTGTTTTATGAGTTATCCACCATGAAGAACATTGCTGCCCCTTATTTAGGTATCAGACACATTTTAAATGTGTTTTTTCTCAACTTGCTTCAGGCTGAAAATGATAAAAGCAGATTTATAGAAACAGTTTTTCTGCAGCAGCGAGAGAAGAAGTGCAGATTTTTTTCCACTTGGATCTGTATTTTGCTTTTGAAAGGCTCAGGAGGATGAGGAGGAGGAGGATTGACAGGAGCGGAGGGTATCGGCACTGACACAGGAGGAACCGAGGCGCGTCGAGCAGAAAAGGAGAAGCACTGAATCAGTCCTGCTGCCGTTTGTTTTCCTTCCAGAGAAAGCCAACATCTCTGAGAATTAGCTCTCTCCCCTCGTGTTTTTTAGTCCTTACGTAACTCGTGTTGATTTCTCTCTGTGGTCAGTCTGCGTCCGGCTGAGGCGGACTTTAAAAGAGTTTGTTTGATCCCTTCAACACCATTAGCCGCAGAGAAACACGGAGTCCACTGCAGGGCCATGCATGATTCGTGACTTCACGTATGTGTGACCCGCTTCTCCTGAGAGGAGAATTGAAATGACTGGAAACGTGTCAAAGTCGAGGAGACGGTGGGGCTTCACTTTGAACTCCAGCGTCGTTGGAGCTGCTGTTTTAACTGTTACTAATGGGCATTATCAGGAAGAGTTTGAAGAAATCTCAGCCTGGATTAGAAGAACTTAATTCCTTTTAGGAGAGGCGTGACGTTCTTTGAGCCTATAGATGGAATAAAGTAGTAAGACCACGATACGGGGGTTATTCAGGGATGGATTTAAATGCAAAAACGTGGAAAAACGTATTTGGTTTAGCATCCAGGTAACAGCAGAGAACCTCTCAGCTAGTAGAAGTTAGCATTAGCAACTCCACAACACAGCAGAAGCTCCTCCAGACATGTATCCGAGTGAACTAGACCAAATTCTTACTTTGCAAAGTTTGGTCTTGGAACGCTCCATTGGAACATCCGCGCAACCCCTAGCAGCATTCTGGTGAGCCAATCAGAGCTCTCTATCAGTTTCAAACCGATCTATCGGCTTTGTGGGCCAATCAAGGCGCTCTAATAGTTTGTTGGGCGGGTTGATGCGGCAGAGTGGAACAAGATGGCGATAGCTCGTTTGAAACGGCTTTCACATAAACTTTGGACTATTTGGACTTGGCGGGTCCTTAAAAAGTCTTAAAATGTCTTAAATTAGCTTTTCCAAATTTAAGGCCCTAAAAATCCTTAAAAATTACAAATAATCCTTAAATACAGTTTCCAAATGTCTTAAATCACCAAAGACCCAATAAACAAGATTATTTTATTTCTATAAAATTTCCTGAATTACTAGTTGGTGTTCAGCATTTTTTGTGTACGATGTTGTCGTAAGCGGAACCGTACACATTCAGTTGGTTGTGAAAGGGGGCTATTTTTAGATGAGCACATTAGCTGGTTAAGCTAGTGGGAGCTTGCGCCATGGGGAAGTGCAAGTTTAATGGTAACTGGATGGCTAATCCCACGTTCGCGACGTTGTTAGCACCGGTTCCAGGCAATAGCTGGAAATTATAGCTTAGATTTAATTTTTAAAAATAGCTTAAATTTTTGTCAAAGTTGCCTTAAAAAAGGTCTTAAAAAGTCTTAAATCTGGCTCCTTTAAACCTGCAGATACCCTGACTTGGGCTTTTTATTAGAATAAGGAGCAGATAGATGTATTTAAGTCTTTTATTTAGAAAAAAAAGGATGTATTTTTGCCTTCTTCAACAGCGGACCGCCTCGTTTACCGACATCCGTTGCGTTGTTCATTGTCCAGTATTATGCAGAGATCGTTCGAAACCTGCCGCACGACCAAGAGCCGTCGATGGAGCGTTCCCAGACTGAATATTATGAAAGATGTCCAAATATCAGGAAGTAAGACTCCTGCAGCAGACCTGTCGATTAAGGCATCCCTTCCTATTAGAGGCCCCTGCAAAAGTATTGATTAAAGACCTTCCAACACCTTTAAGGGATTTGTTTTTACCGTAAGTACAGCCTGCTGGTCTTTGAGATTATAATCTCGGGGTGAGAAGAGTGTTTTCCTTTTCGTTTGTTTGAACTGTGAATTTTGTGTGAAAAACATCAAATAAACAGGGAAATGAAACAGTCAAAGTTCAGCATTTGCAAGGAAGTTTCCAAAATGTCATCCATGCACGAGGGGCTGCTCTTGTATCACTAGGATTTGTAGACATTTCTAATCTCTTCTCAAAATAGACAACAAGTCATTGCAGACATCAGAAACCCACCAGGAACCCGTCTGTGATTAGCTTCTGAGTCACAAGTGTGAGAAAAGAGACAACTTTGGCTGCAGAAAATATTTAAAAAACAAACCAAAGAGGTGAGTTAATGCCTCGGCCTTTTAAAAACCCAAAACCCTCACCCTTTCATTCTGGCTTTTAATCATCTCTAAGACGCGATGTTCAGCTGTGCCTAAACACACTTTTACATCAGCACAGGGAACAGGACAAGTCACCAATGTGTGCAACGGCGTCAGGCTCCACAGGAGGTCACTCTAGAGAGGGCTGTAGCGTCTGAGATAAGGAAATAAAATGTTTGATTGGAATAAATCTGTGATTAGAAAATCGCTCCTGCAGGTGGATTAGTAGTAATCAGGACTGTGCAACTTCTGATGTCAGTTTCATCATTTTAGGGCAGAAGTTTGTCAGGAAGGTTTACAAATGAGTCTTTTTGTAGCTTTTTATTGGTTCTGATGACCCCAGATCATCGACATATATCTACTGGACAATGTGTTCCCATAGACTCCAATTATAAGTTTTTGTGCTAAAATGGGAGGTGGCCACCACCGCCATTTTGACCGTGTCACAGGTTCCGTCAAGCCCAGACAATTACACAAAAGGGAAGAGAGGTGGAGCTGAGGGTGGGGCTGTAAGGCAGGGATCAACTGACGACACCCGGTCGAACTAGCTACAAGCTAACCTGAAGCTAACCCAAAGCTAACGCGGAGGTGGGAGCTAAGCTAACGGAGATAGCTACGTAGCTACAACTGGAGCTAACTATGCACAACACCAGAGCTTCTGAGTCAGAGATGCGCCGGGCTGACCGCTGGGTAAAACCGGGTGGAACACAGAGGTCTCCGAGACCTCCACAAGCCGGCAGCCGCACATCAGACAGGCGCCGCTGCGATCAGAGATTCGCCGAGCTGCAGCTGAGGGGAGGAGACCATACCGATATTCGGAACCCAGCTCCACCAACATGTTATATTTCAACCCATTTTCTAAAGTGCAGCATTATGTTAAATGCACTGGGTTTTACCCTATTACATTTAAATTTCATGGTTAAACAGTACATGTTAAAATCTAAGCTCAGCTCAGCAGTGACCTAAAATACATAAATATAATTTTACTTACCGAAAAAATGAAGTGGAGACTCCTTGGATGCTCTGTTAGTGCAATTAATGCCACAGCAAGTCATTTTGTCCAGCAATTGCACAAAAAATATCCAAAAAAGAATACACAAATGCTACTACTAATGGTCTAAGTTGGGAGACTGAAAATGGCGGAACAGTTTTCAGGCTGAGGCCTTTCCCCGGAGCTAGCTCTGTGGTCACGTGGGTCTGATGCTCATTAATTATTCAGAATTTTAGGCTTTTAATACACTTAAACAGAAGAGTTACAAAACATTCACCCCCCTCAGAGTTGTCATGAGTGTAAACTA